TTATTGGCCTTTGTGAACAACTATAAGTTTCAAAATAAAAATCAAGTCTTCATGCAATACTTGGATGTTTTGGCAAAAACTGGACTGGTTTTCGTTTCCCAAAAGCTGGAAATAGATAAAAATAAAATAAATTTTACGACTTGCAAAACTTGCAATGTTACGTTCAGGCTTATTAAAAGAAATGCGAGGAAGAAAGATCAGTGAATTTCCCACTCTGAAATACGTAAATATTGTTAAAAAGGAGCGAAAAATTCGTTGCAATATTGAACTAAGTTGACACTCTGAAGTTCCTTTTTTGAAAACTCTTAACATCATTATTGAGAAATGTAAAAGAAAAGAGATATACTTAATTATGAAGCACAAGGTATTCATGCATTGAAAAATTATAAGATTATTAAATCAAAAATTAAAATAAGTCATAATATAGTTTGTATAATTTAAGCAAAAGGAACGTACAAAGCAAGATTATACGGTTTTACTTAAACAAGGAAGTTTTATATCTACACAACTGATTAAAATATGATTAAAAAATGTTTTAGTTCAAAAAAAAGTTGCTACTTCAAAAACACAGAAAACACAAATAATCACATTTGCAATTTATCGTGTTTGCGATTCAAATTAGCACACAAATAAATATCGTTTGCAATGTGAAAAAATGTTGTAAAATATTTCGTGAATTTGGTAAATAGGCACTAATTATCATTACATATCAATAACTATAATTATTTCTAGTGGCATAGAGATAGACGTTGAGGACATATGTGATAACATTGATAACTTATGTATATTAACTGGTTTATCTTCTGAATGTTATAAATATTAAGGGTCCTCGCTTTTATTGAAGACCTTGGTATAATCACTATAATCGAGGTCTCGTTACTTGACATCTAAAGTTGGATGGTCTCAATTGTAACGCCTCGGTAGCAAATGACTTCGACTTTAAGCCTTGCAATGGAAGCCATTACTTGATGTAGTATGGTTACGTTATATGTCTGGTAGGTTCAATTAAAGCTAGCAGAAGCTATAAGCTAGCGAGACTTATAAAACTACTTATAAGTGTTGAAAGTCTCAATTATAGCTAATCAGCGGCAACGATCTCGGCTTAAATGCTGTGATCGAAGCCGTTACTTAATATCTTCTGAATATTATAATTCTTGATGGTCTTAATTATAGCGCTTCGGTCCCGAGTGACCTCGGCTGTATTCTGCACGTTGTAAATCTTAAAAGTGTAAAAACTAAACATCATATTATAAACGAAGCCGTTATTTCATATTTCCTTACATTACTGAGCATAGTAATGGTATGGTAGTATAGTGGAGAATAGATAAATTATGGTGGTTTTGGCCTGATTATAGGCACCTTAGTATAGTTGGTACATATTCGGAACATGCTACCTAAAGCCCATTAAAAGCATGTGTTGTCTCTAGATAATTTTACCTTTAGCAAATTCATAGTTATGAGTTATGAACAATAGTTAATGGTTTGATCCTTTTTGGCGATCAGATTCAACCGCAGGTTGATCTTCACCGCTTGAATCAATTAAATTAATAAGAAACTGTATCATCTAACCAACATTTGCAGAAACTATAATCTCTATTTTTAGTTGATTGAGACATGAAGTTATTTTCAATCTGTCTATAAAGACGTGGCTATTTTTGCTTGATGCCTTGTCTATGACACACCAAAAGTGCAGAGATTACGTTTTTTATTTTAAACATCTTTGCCAGATGAAACGTAAGAAACAACCAGAAATAGGAGCATAGCATAGCATGGAATTATTGAATATAGTGAAACATTGTTCACGCCATTACAAGTTAAAATAATGGGAGTAGACAACCAGTAGATAACAATTCACTGCCAATGAATATTGCAAAATATAATGATATTATAATTTTGAGACAAACGTATATGGGCAAAAACAAAGTGTCATTTTTTGTAGCAAGTTCCAAATAGAGAATCACCGCTAACATTCATATTATGCAACATGAATAATTTACAATAGTAGAGTGAAGTAAAGTATATTTATTCATTCTAAGAAGGTAACTACAGAATTAATTTATTTCTTAAATACGTCAAAGGAAAAGGTAATATAGTAATAACAGAATTGACGACTCCAAATATTCTGGGATACTATAGAAGGTGTAATTCTTAAGAAGATTTTTGTTTTTTTTATAAAACAGTAATACTAGTATTAGTGTGTTAGAGTTAAATCTACTTTCTGGAATACGCAATAACTGGTAGTATCTGGTGTTATACATATGTACATCTTCAATCTTATCTAGTAAGGCCTCTTTCTTTGTAATTCCCAACAACCTCTCGTGTATATAGGCAGGTGGTAACGGCATTATATCGTATTTGATAAATAGGGGCTTACATGTTGATGTTTGAGGAACTCCATCAATTGCCCGAAATCCTTTCTTTTGCAGACGGAAAACTCTTTGAGCATGAGAGTACCGCAATTCCATCCAGCATAGAAGCATGAAATAACGTAAAGTAAACTGTCCTGGAGTCTGTTACAAAGTAATTCTACGTGGGCGTACCAAGTAAGAAGACTATCTAGAACAACACCCAAATATTGCACCTTTCCTCCTTGGAACTCGTAATGAATTCGACTAGTTGTAAAACCATAATATTCCATCTTGCTCAGAAAAATCTCATGGTCCATACAGTCAAACGCTTTTGAAAGATCATGGAAGTGTGCTAGATAGTTTTCCTCACTTTCGAAACGATCATAAATCCATTCAATCTGTCTCTGAAGGGCATTTACCGTTGATTTAGCTTTCCTAAACCCATATTGTTCCTCAGTGAAATATTTTTTCTTATCAAAAAAGTTTATTATTCGGAGTGCCATGATTTTTTCGAAAAAGCCTGGTAGAATAGCAATAGGTCTGTAGTTATTAATATTCTCGGGACCACCCTTTTTCAATATTCGTATAATTTTGGAAAGTTTTAATCCATTGGGAAACCCACCCTCTCTAATTGAGCAATTTATAATATCAGAAATTGGATCTTTTATGATGTTTACGGTTTCTTTCAAAAGATGTTTGTCTTGGAATGATTTTATTATGGTTGCTACTTCATCTGGATTTGTAGGAAAAAAGAAGAATGAGAGATGTTTTTTCGGAATTTTACATAGATAATCTTCAGGTTGAGTTTGGGTAAATGGCAGAGTGCTTATAAGGTCTTTAGGAATATTTGTGAAGAACTCGTTAAAGGAGTTAGGAGTTAAACTAGTTGGGGTTAACATCAAATGTCTTTTCCGCCCAGTGTCCGAGTTTATTATATTCCATGTTGTTTTAGTTTTATTATACTTACAGCTTTTCTTTTTTGGGATTGTTTCAAATAAAAATTTTTGTAACTATTGTATACAGTTTTGAACTCTTCATTATTGGTTCAATGATAGATTTCTTGAATCAAGGTAAGGGTATTTTTTATTTGTGTTAAAACCAGATCGTTCGAAACCGTGTTTCGCTTGAGTTTATAAACCTTGTAAGAGAAACAAGCTTCAAACTGATGCATGAAGATGTTAAGGAACATGTTAAATTTATAGTTAGGATCATTTTCGTGGTAAATCTAAGACCAATCTTCTCGGGCTAACTATAGTTGGAATAGGTTCAATAAAAGTTAATAAAAGGACAACAAAAATTTTCAATGATAAATGTAACTGGGGGAGAAACTATATCGGGTCAAACCATTTTTCCACACCTTTTGATTCATTTCTAAACTCTTTCATGAAACATATTATTTCCCCTACTACTTTTATAAAATAGGGTCGAAAATGGTAGCTGATAATCGATTTCAGAAGAAATGAATTTAATTATTAATTGTTGTGTCCAATGTGTTATTAGTGTTATTACATACACAAATATTTCAGTTATTAATTTACATTTTTGTTAATATGTATTTTACAAATTAATTTAACAATATAATTTCGTTACAATGTTTACTTCTGCTTTTGTATTCTTTGTTATCCAACAACAAACATTTTGACACATTTAACTTACGATAATTAAATTAATTTTCAAAATTATCTTTTTCAGTATTAAACGATTTTAATCGAACTAATTTCACTCATTTTAAATTCAAATCAATAAATAATTTTAATAAAATTATGTACAACACGCTTTTATTCTTAATAAATTTATTTTCACACTTTAATAAGCGAACCACTTGTTTATTTAACGAATTTGACGGTATTTGATGTTGTATACTGAATTTGAATGGTCCTCGATTTACAAACGATTTGAAGAGGTCGTGTTCAAAAAAAAATGTATATACGACCCCTCTTGTCGTTGGATGACCACTTTTGCAAATTGAATCCACACACAATTTGATATTAATTTAATTATGCGAACACGTTGCCGGTCAAACACACTCGGCATCCCCGGTTCTGGTTAACTCAATTTATCGTTAAAATGTAGTCGATAACAAATTGTTTCGCAAATGGGCCGTGCAGCCAAAACCCGTTCAATTTAAATGTTTATCGAATCACATGTACAACGACACACGAGTAATTGTATAAATAGGTTACGTTAATTTTGGAGTTTACCAATATAGGAGGATATGTTTCTGCGAGTTTTATTTTATGATGGTTAGAATTGATTTATAGAACAAATTTAATAGTCAAATCTTCAAAGAAGTCGATTTGAAAAATCGTATTCAATTTACTCCAAGTACAACTTTATTAATATGTATGTATTCGATAATAAATATTTCAAATTCTTATCAATATTTGATGTTACATTTTTTTTTACATCGGTACATTCAATAAGACATCTTTTTCTGTATGCAACGAAACGTTTTCCGAGTCTCGCGGGTTTCCTATTGCGAAGCACAATAAATATTTAACTTCCTCATAACCCGAGGAGGAAATGGGAAAGGGAGTGAACGAGTAAAAAAAGTTGTCGCGACAAGCGACATGGGAAAAGTCGTCGTCTGCCCTGCTTCAGAAAGAAAATAAAACAGTTCAAAAAAAGTAAGTAGGGAATCATATGACCTACCTGTATTTCGCATGGCACCAAAAACTACCGGTAAGAGGAGGTGAAACATCATCAAAATTTCCATTATTCGAGGAACCATCGCTGGTAATGAAAATCGGAAAGTTTCTTTTTCAATAACAACACTTAATAAACAACCAAAACAACACCACCAAAAAGAAACTTTCACATTATTATCACAGTATCATCACTAATTATGAGATTGTGGAACTATTTTTGTTGTTGAGTTGAGAATGAGATGATAAAAAAGGGAAAAAACTGATGCAAAATCGTTTGAAATATTTCAAAAAGTCAACACCAGTTGAGTCTATTTAAAACTATTCAGTAAATTTGTGATGTCCCCGTTTATAGTAGCTGGTGGTGGCACACAGAAAATAGTTCCAATCTATCTATACTTTGCGATGATGTAATATAATTTTCTTAAAAACAACAAAATTGGAAAATTAAAAATTTTTAGAAACCAAATTTTTATCAACTTTATTTAATTACATAAATTAACCGCCCGTTAGTGTCAAATTTTATCAAGGAATACTTTGAATTGAAGACAAAATTTTATTCTTGTACGTGTTAGTCCTCGGAAAATTTTAAATTCGCGGAAATTCGACGGCGTCTGCGAATACCGACGACGCCTGACGTCGTACTGTCAGTATTTGGCGCGTTTTGGCGTCCGTACCTGTGATCTACCCGGAGTTCTGAACATGCGCCTGAAACGTTCCAATAACAGGTGCCCCGACGTTGCATCTGAGCGTCGCGACGCCTAGAACTGCTGCGTCTACTGTGACCCCATACGTAAAAATCGACATTGATCCATAATTTAACAAATTTTATTTTGTATACAAAAAGTACATATAAAATAATTTAGATTGCCGTTTTTGATGCAAACATTTTTATTGATTTTTAATTTTCCTTCATAAAATTTTTTCACTTCATAAAGTATTAAGTTAATTAGTTGTTAGGTACTTACCAGAATACTCTGCTGGACTGAGACGAGGTATTAGGTTGCCACCAAAATACAAAGATACCTCATCTTTAAACGATATTAACATCATAATGGAAAATGAGTTAGAGGAACGGATCTTGTAATAAAAACAATTCATCCAATTATCGTGTATGTTTATTAAAAACAAAAAAATATATATTATAAACCTAATTTAATGTTACTTTTTATACATAACCATTCAGTGAGGGCACCAATAAAAATCGATACAAAGTTATTTAATTATAATATGATTATAAAGGAGTAACTTTTAGTTTTTAACATAATCATACCAATTTATAAAAAAAAACATTTCTTTTCTTCATATTTTTCTTCTTCTAGGGGGGTCGTATAACAATAACCTTAGAGACTACTACGACCTAAATTGTTTAACGTTTCAACAGAAGATGGCGGTCGATTTTATTCTTGCTTTCCAACTGAGACGACAAATGGAGGGGGCAAAATTAATAATATACGTGGCGGATAGAAAATAAAATAAAAAAAATACATTGAGAAATACACAGAATGTAAACGTTGCCTTTTTTTAATAATTATTATTTAAAATATACGCCCATTAAGATGCTAGCTGAGGAGGGTTCGTATTTCTTTGTGCATGTGACACAAGAAATCAACGTAACTCGCCGAACCGTCAGCGCCACGATCTTCAACCAAGAAGTGTTTGAAAACAGGTTCCAGCTTTTCTCTTTGACGTAACAAAGTTAACTAGAAAAAAAAAACTTCATTAAAAAATCTGAAATACTTAATAAATGTGTTATATAGTACAAGTTTTTCTATAATGAAGTACGCGGATTTATAACAAAAATATTTAATTCTTGACATATTTATCCTAATAATGTAAAGAGATTATTGAGGGTTACTCTACTCTTTATCAATTCTTCTAGGGTAAAAACGATATCTCCCGTTATTCGATTTGTTTGTTTGCATGAAGAACCGAAGTTTCAAGGGTGGGCCAAGTTATTTATTTATTTAGCATATAGCTTCAAGGCTATGCAATAAGGAACGCAATCCGCAAGGAGGTCACGCCGATAAAGAACATTGCGTCAACTAGCGGAGAGGATCTAACGAACTCGTGGGTTATAATATCTCATGCTGTAGCCAACATAACAAAAAATAAACTGGGTTACAGAATAACAAATAAAAAACAAAGTTTGATAACATTTAAGATACTAGAGCTAATGAACGAACGAAAATCTTATAAAAACAAAGACGACACCCGATACAGGAACACACAAAGAACAATCAGATCGAAAATCCGTGCAGCAAAGAATAAATGGTTGAGACAAGAATGCGCAAAGATGAAACATCTAAAGAACCAACATGACACCTTAAAACTAAACAAAAAGTTAAAAAAAAACATCTAGTGTTTACAGAGACTTCCAAACATTGAAAAATTATTCAATATACAGGGTTATTATAAATGATGGACCCATTTGTAAAGACGAATATTTATTAAAGTACAGATCCAAAATGAACAATCTTTATACCAATGGAAAGAGGAAGTTTCAAAGTTTTTTTGTAATAAAAACGGGTTAAAAATGGGTCCATCATTTATAATAACCCTGTATATTGTTCAATATTGTTTTTCGGTTCGAGTTGAGATATCGAGTTGAGCGCACGTGTTCTTTTCGTGAAATTAGTCGTTCGATTTTGATGTAAATTTGACTGTTAATCAGTGATTGGTGTTGGTACTACCTAATAGTCAACTTTTATTGCCATAATAAGAAACAAAAAATACAAATTAAAGAAAATGTATACATTTAACTTAATACATAAATACGAGCAAAAGGGTAGATTTATCGCGTAAGCGATATTTTCCAAACAACCCAATCAATCAGCAGTATACTAAGTTATATAGAAAAACAATAAATGAACGGCAAGCTGCTATGCTAAACTTATGGTCACCAAGAACGGTGCATAATGATAGTTGCTGGAATAAAAGAAGAAGAGAAGAGAAGAAAAGTAGAAGAAGAGAAGAGAAGAAAAGGGAGAAGAAAAAGTTTTCAGGAAGATACTTGGAGAGCCAATAAATGACGTTTTAGGTGGTTTTTAAATGTTACAAGGTGAGGAATATTACGGATCTCAGTAGGCAGACTATTCCAAAGGGTTACTGCCTGCACAGCAAACGATTTATGGTAAATCTCGGTACTATGGGTCGGGAACATAAGCACAGAATCTAACTGAGATCTAGTAGGTAAACCATGCGACGACAAGCGTTGAAATATACAATACAAATACCTTGGGGTTTGATTGTGAAGAACAGTATATAACATAGTTAATATACGAAACGATCTCGGTTCTGACAGCTTAATATCTGCAAATAATTACGGTATGGGGTTATGTGTTGAGATCTCTCGAGATCAAAGATATACCGTATGCAGTTGTTTTGAAGTCTTTGCAGTTCGTTTCGTAGTGTTACCGAAAGATCAGGATATGCCGTGTCAGCATAATCAATATGTGGGAAAATCAGGGAAAAACAAAGATTACGACGGATCATGGGAGGAAGGAAGCAACGGAGACTTTTCAGTGAGTGGAAACAATGATAGACCTTTCTGCAGACGGATTGAATTTGAGGTTTCCAGGACATTGTAGAATCCATAACCACCCCAAGGTTTCTAACCGTGTCTGACAGCTGAATAATGTCTCCGTCAAGCATTAAGTGAATGGATGAAAAATTATTCAGCTTTGTCAGTAAAGGTCGACTGCCAAACGCAATTGCTTGAATTTTAGCAGTATTTAATTTAAGGCCATAACGTTTGGACCAATCCAAAATATTGGAAAGGTCATGATTAAGACGTGCAATTGCTTCTGGAAAATCATCAATAGTTGTCGTAGTGTAAATTTGGAGGTCATCAGCATACACATGATAATTACAAGAAATACAGTGGGTGACGGCATTAATAAAAATCGAAAAGAGCAACGGACCCAACACACTACCCTGGGGTACACCACATTTAATATCACAAGCAGACGAGAGCGCAGAATCAGTACGCACACACAAGGAGCGACAGGAAAAGTAAGATTAAAACCAAGATAAACATGAAGAGGTAAATCCAAGGGCAGCTAGTGACGCCAACAAAAGATCGTGATCAACCGAATCGAACGCCTTGCTGAAATCAACTAATACAAGGATGGTAACACAACGCTTGTCGCAAGCATACCTAATATCATCTGTAATCTTAATAAGCCTACAAAGACGAAGTTAAATCAGAAGCTGTTGTAACTATTGAGTCCATTAAAAGGGATTTCACTGCTTTTCAAACGGAGATATATGCCAATTTGAAGAGAATTTCACGAGTTTTGGTGGATCATGATAAACGGGTTGATAATTTGGAAATAGAAGCTAATGTGCTGTAAACTTTTTCGAAATTGAGGATTCCTGATTTGATTCCAACGATGTCCATCATCGATAGATGTCATAGGCTGGGTCGTTTTGATAAGGGATCGATAAGGAGCCGACCTATCATCATTAAGTTTGTTTCCGACTGTAGTACTCCACCATTCACAGGAATTAGTATCTCCTTTAAGTGTTAGACACTGCAGATAATAATCAAGTTCAACCCCAATAGGACTTTTTTCATGGAATACAACTTTATTTATATCAGGTTTATCTTTAGCAACCTCATTGAAACAATCCCAATGCGATATATAAACTTTCTTGTTGCAGTTTCGTCTAGTTCCTTCTCTTCGCTTGTAATTCATCATCACATTCATTACTAACAGAACTGTTACTGTTATCACTTTCGATTATTAATTAAAGTATCCTGTTTTTAATGCAATAAGCCGTTTTGAAAATCACTCAGTTTTTGAGAAATAAATTTTTGAAATATTAGACAATTTTTTAAAATTTTGCAATTTTCGACGATTAAGTTAACTGATTTATATGATATACTGTTTTTGGTAAATTATGGTCTTAATTTGGTTTCTAATAGGTTGGGTTAAAATTTAGTCACTCTCTTTCCATTGTTTAACCTTGTATAACAAGTATCATTCAAATGTTTCTAATTTGAAAAGTATTTAACAAAAGTTATTTTTGTACAATTTCAATTTTTCTTGTTATTATTATTATTATTGCTGCTGGGCTGAGGAGAGCGGCCCCTCTCATTACCGCAACCTATAAGATCTATTGTAACTTTAGCCCTCCAAAGGTTTAGGGCAAATGTAGGTCCTTAATGAACCTTAGTATTGTCTTGAGGTCTTGAACCTTTATGTCGGTAGGTAACAGGGGAGTTTTACCGAAGACGTTGTGCCTTAGACGGCCTCTGGTGACGCAATTGCACAGTATATGTTCAGCAGTTTCTGACTCGTCGTTGCATAGTCGACAAGTTTGATGGAAGAGGTGGTATTTTAGGGGCACATGGCCGGTCAGGTAGCCTGAGAGCGTTCTTAGATCCCCTTCGCTGAGGCATAAGGTTTTATCTCTTTGGTTTTTAACAAAACCAAAGAGGTTTCTTTGGTTTTGTTTTGCGACGGAGTTATCATACTCTTCGCTTGTCTGTGACCTGGAAGTTCTTTCCAGCGTAAGGCTATCTTTGAAGCCTCCCAGTTGTTGATTATTTGTTTTAGGTGGCTTTTTTGTAGTCCACATCCAGGTTGGGGTCCAATGAAGGGCGTGTTTGCTGCCTCTTTGGCCAGCTTGTCGGGCTTCTCATTGCCCTCAATGTTGCTGTGACCTGGAACCCACCATATGGTAACATCATTGCCCCTAGCGAGTTCTCTCAGGTTGTTGGTACACTCACTGATCAGTGCGGAGCCACACGTGTAGGCCTGAATTGCCTTTAAGGCTGCCCGACTGTCTGTGAAAATGTTTGTGGATGCACCTTTTTGTCTCTTCTGTAGGTTCAAAGCGGTGCAGAAGTTTATAGCAAGAACTTCTGCTTGGAAAACTGTTAAATCTGAGCTGAGGGGCAATTTGATATGGCTATTTGGTCCACTGATGCCCATGCCTACTCCAGATCTTACTGTCTTTGAAGCATCGGTGTACCAGGCTACGGCTCGTCTTTTTAGTTGAGGTCCTCCCTTCGCCCAATCATCCCTGCTACTAAATATGACCTTATACGGTTGGTTGAAATTGTATTCCGTCGGTATGAGGTCCGTTTTAATTTCAATCATGTGATTTAGACATGGGTCCTTGAGGATCTCGAGGTGTCCTCTGAGGTTACCCTGCATAAACTTGAGTGAAGAAACTGTTTTCAGTGATAAGGCACTTAAGGCTGCCTCCTTTTGTATATATAAGTGGAGCGGTGTGAGACCGAGTAGGGCTTCCAAAGCAGCCGTCGGACAGGATCCCATTGCACCCGTTATGTTAAGACATGCTAACCGCTGGATTTGTGCCAGCTGTTGTTGAGCTGTCTTATGTTTTGTTTTTGGCCCCCAAACCAATGAGGCGTAGGCGACCATGGGTCTGATTATTGCTACGTAGGCCTAATGAGCCATTCGTGGTTTGAGACCCCAGTTCCTTCCTAGGAGCCTGCGGCAGATCTGGTTTGCCATGATGGCCTTTTTCCTCACCTTATCTAAGTGTGAGTTCCAGTTTAGTTTACTGTCAAGTATTACCCCTAGGTATTTAGTTTCTGTTTTGAGGTTAATAGTTCAGCTTTCAATGGAGGGTGCTTTTATTTGTAGCTTCCTTCTCCGAGTGAAAGAGACTATTTCGATTTTATTGAGATTGATGCTGAGCCCATTGCTTCTGCACCAAGTACTGGTGAGTAGTAGGGCTTTCTGCATTAGCTGAGTTATGATTGAATCATATTCACCTCGGATTGTGACTACCAGGTCATCAGCATACCCTTGTATCTTAAATCCGTTTTTAGTTAGGGTGTTCATCAAGTCATCAACTACCAGGCACCATAATAGAGGTGATAGCACTCCCCCTTGGGGACATCCTCTTAGCGCCTTTATAGTCAGCGACTCGCCTCCCAGACTGGCTGTGATCTGCCGACTTTTCAACATGGCTATACACCACTTGATTGTCGACGGATGTATGTCTTTTACGTTTAGAGCCTTCTCTATGGATTCATATGAAGTGTTATCAAACGCACCCTCTATATCTATGAAAGCACAAAGAGCTATCTCTTTGGTTGCAATTGCCTCCTCTAAGGTGCTAGTCAAAGCATGGAGAGTTGTAATTGTTGATTTTGCTTTCTGGTAAGCATGTTGGCTAGGGTGGAGTGGATTTGTGACAAGCACTCCATTCCTTAGGTATTGTAATTGGTCTGTACGCCGTGAGGTCCGCGTTTGAACGCCTACCACCTTTAGGTATGAAGACCACCTTTACTTTCCTCCATAGAGTGGGTATATAGCTAAAGCTGTAGCTAGCTCTATATAGGGATATTGTTATTGGGAGAAGGTCTTCTAAGCCTTTTTGCAGAAAGATAGGCAGAATCCTGTCTCCTCCAGGCGATTTTAGGGGCTTGAAATTCGAGATAGCCCACCTTACTCTGTTGGGTGTGAAAATATTCCCAGCTGTGCTGCGAACCCTACCTGATGGACGGGTTATGTCCATTACTTCAGGGTCGGCATCTGCATGGGGGCAGACTTTTGAGGAAGGAAAGTGTGTACTCNTAAAATTTAGTCATTGTAGATACTCTCTTTCCATTGTTTTTATAACAAGTATCATTCAAATGTTTCTAATTTGAAAAATATTTACCAAAAGTTATTTTTGTGCAATTCGCGCTATATGAATTTTTTTGTTAATCAATGTGACTTTTATAAATATTTACTTTTAGAAGTAATTCAAAGGTCAATTAATAAAATAGATAAAGATTTTTTTGAGATTGCAAATTAATACTATCGAAATGTTTAGATTTGTTTATAGATTCGAGTGTGTTAGTTATCATATTTTGCTGGTTACTTACTCTCATACATCTGTGTCTTTGCACCCTAATTTGATCGATGATTGACCTAACACTAATTGATAATGGATTATCCAGTACGGGTAATTCGCATGTTTCCACATCTACTTGAACGGCAGTTGGAACACCAAAGACTTGTTGTAAAAATTCTGGATTCGCTGCTAATCCGATATACATAAACATATGAATACCATTCTCTAAAATATAAACTCCTTGATCAGATACTTTTTCTAGAGTTGTTCGGATTGGTGGTGGGATATCTACGATTCCATCGACGTTTGGTTTTACATCGATAAGCGGAATAAGTCTTGGATAAAAGTAGGCCACCGAAGTGGGAATATCCATTATCATTACGATATGCATTACAAATGATCTATCATCCAATGTTATATCTGAACCTAATATAAAAAGGAAAAAACTTTACATAAGAATACATTTTGGTTAAGAAATAATAACTTACCTCCAGACATTGCATCACTTTTAAGTAAACAATTGACATATAAGGGTAATAATTTCATGCACTCAGGTAGTATAAGCTGCCCAGCTCCGCTTGGACTGGCACAATTCTTTCGATAATTAGCTAACATTTGCGCGGCTCTTGCAACGATATTATCTTTGACGGCTTTCGGATTGTGCTCCAATAATTTGAAAACAGACTGTTTCCCAAAGAAATTAATAATCGTGTCCAATTCGCAATATCGATACAAATCGGCCATTTGGGAACATGTTTTCAATGATAAATTAATAACTCTGAGCCTTCGTTGTCCCGAACATGAAGTATACAATAAAGCAACTTGAATATAAACGCCATCTTCTTCTGTCAGTTTGTCATCGTGTTTTACTTCAACTGCTACTGCTTTATCGCAATCTATATTTATAAATAATAAAAAAAGTTAAAAATAAAAATGAAGTTTTTTTATTCATTTACCTATCGTTGCTAATTCTATATCTGTTGTATTTGACATGAAGAAATGACCATAAAAGTCCGTTGCTCTGATACCTGTTGATGTGCGCACTCTCATAATTGCATCAAATGCTATGGGTCTGCTTATATCTGTTATGATATCTTCTATTAATCGTGGACCATCAATATCAGCCTGTAAATAAAATAAGAATAGTACGATTTTTATTCCAACAATTAAAAATTCAATAATAAAGAATTAAATTACTAACTTGGAAATAAGTATACTTGAATATTTCACCACCAGTTAATCTTGAAACTTGTCCAATAGTCGCGAGGTCAATGTAAGCATTATTAAACAGGAACAAATCTACTGAACACCCAGCCCCAACACAATCTTGTCCTAGTTGATTATAAGCTTGATTTTGCGGTGCCAAAACGGTCCTTTCTTTATCTGTGCCTAATAATTTCCTATCATCCCGATTTTTTAATTTACCTGGAGCCTCAGCGATCGGAAGAGTCGAATGGAAAACCAACAATTTCCCAGCGCATTCAGAAGCCTTCAAAGCTTCTAATCCCGCCAAAATGGCCGGTAATAAAATTGTTTCCGTTTCTCGGGTATCGCCAAACATTTGTGGAATTTGCTCCATTAATGCATCAATAACGATTTCGGACTCTTCCGGGGTGCATAAAAATCCATCTAATAACGGCATAAACATATCTTGAACATCGCCGACAACTAACATTTGCGGGGCAGCTAAAGATCCTTTGATATTATAAAAATGTACGCTGCTATTATAGGTTATAAATCCAACTCGAACATTGCTTTTTTCTTGACCTTGATCGACTGGTAAATTTTTAAGAATTTGTTTCATTTGAGCGCATAACATATGAACCAATCCCGATTTTATATTATTATAAGAAACATCGATAACAAAAATAATCGCTGGCGGTTTTGGTAATTTATTATTTCTACAATAATCAGCTGTTGCGATTAATTCATATGTTCCAAGAACGAGCTCGGCTCTTTCAAATCGATCGGTTCTTTGTCCGGTGTGATCGAGATGTTGAAAATATTCAGTTGGAACATCTGTGGTTGCTTTGCAGAACGAACATTGAAACCGTCTTCCAGCATCGATAAATACCATGTAAGGACACATGTATGCTTTACATCTTGTACAACGTACCGGACCTAATTCGCCGAAATTTACTATTGGGGGTGGAAATTCTTGACCAACCGTTCTTGCCATTGGACTTATTACCAAACCAAAAGGTACTGAAGTTTGTTTCATTAAATCCTTACAGAAAAAAATTGGAGTTTATTAAAAAATCAAATATGTTTAAGAAAGAAATCAATTTTGTATTAAGATTATATTTAATATGAAAAATGAAAATATTTTTATTATGAATTCTTATTTCTAACTCAATACATTTTTTAATTGAACTGATAAGATTTAACTTTGTGAATTTAGCAATAATAAACCCTTTGCTAAATTTTATTAAATTTATTTTAATAAAAATATCAGAATCAGTTTTTATCTACGCGACCACCAGCTAATCAAAAATAAACATATTTTTCACATATAATCACAAATGTCCCATCATTAAAGCTATATCGACAACTCAAAAATATTTTCACCATATTCAATTAGATGCTTCATTGCCATTCAACCAACATTGATTCAAACATGGAGGAATATAACCCACAAATGGAAAATTTTGAAAACAAGGGATATGGGCCCAAGCGGGCAAATCCCACCCTTCTACAAAGAACTACCTTATCGGATTTGATGGAGGCAGAAATTCACTACTTAGACAACAACACAACTTATGTATAGCTTCCTATAAAACCAGAACTGTATTCTATAAGAAAAAACTAGAAATTGAAGAAGAGCTCCTAAAATTAATTAACGTTAAAATCAGGGCACCTATTCCAATTCAAAGGATACGACGATGCATCAGAAGGAGGAGTAGGATTAATAATTCGCAAGAAACATATATCAGATATAATAGATATTAAAACAATAAGCCCCAGAGTCATCTACTTGACTTTGAGACTAAATTCCAGATACAACTATGATATTGATATGGTTAATTCCAAACTGGGAAAAAACCAAGACTAATCAGATAAAATCAATAGTTGACAAGCCACGAACCAAACTTTTATACTATTTACAACTGAACAACCTATTTGCGATGAACTGTTTATTTAATAAAAATCCCAACGTAAATGGACATGGACCAGTCCAGATGGTCATACCAAAAACGAATGACAAAACGAATACCAAAAGACAAGAAACTTAGCACAAATACCAAACTTATGCGGTAATTCCTACAGCATAAATATGAAAAAAACCTGGTCATAGAAAATAAAGGCAGCTTGAAGTTATTGAGACAGAAACTCTCCCAGGGTCATAAACAAATATCAGCCCTAAGACACAAACACAGAAAAATAATAACTAATAAAGAAGAAATTCTAGAAATATCAGAATATTTTTATGTAGAACTATAAATATAAAGAATAAAACAAGAACACAGAAGAAGAAACAACTACATAGAAAATAGAAAAAGCACTCTGAAATGAAAAATCACAATTCCCCTGGGCACGATAAGGTTATTGGCGCTATAAAAATAAAAGGAACTACTACATGCACTAAACCTGCTATTCAACGCGTGCTTGTCAAGGGGGATAACATCACCACATTGGAACAGTACAACTTTTATTTTTATGTATAAGAAAGGCGATATGACCAACCTAGGAAATTACAGGCCGATTATCTTGTTATACATATAAACTAAAATCTAAAAAATAGTTACCAATAGGCTATCTGCCAAATTCGATCAATACCAATCGCCAGAGCAAGCCGGGTTCCCATCAAGGTATGACACAAACGATCACCTTCAAACTCTAAAAGTCTAATCGAGAAATCGATGGAATACAATAAACCGTTAAACAAACACATATGTGATTACGTCAGCTTGTGTTAGGCTTCATGAAGATACTAATAACTTCAACATAGAAAAAGGCAACAACATTTGCTCCAGTACATGTGCAAACAGATGGAATGGGACGACTTGGAAACATAAATGGGGAAAATTTGTGCTACCTGCAATTTGCAGACGACATTGTCCTCATGTCCGACTGCATAAAGAAGGCTCAGGCAATGTTACAAAGACTGAACACGGCCTCTGAACAAATGGGATTGAAAATCAACATCCCAAAAACCCAAGTGATGACAAATCTAGTAATTGGCTGTCGAATATACGCTGTGTACATAAAGTATGGAATCAATTCGATAAAAATTCGGGGGATATTCTTCCTAACAAGGCTAGGTCGGATATTATAATTTTTAACGGGCATTTTTTGAGATAAAATTAAAATACAAAATGTCCCAAAATTGATACCATGCCTAAAATGACATTTTTAAATAGGAACTCCCATGTTTTGTCGAATTTATGGTTTCTACGTAATGTTCTGAGTATTTTTCATGTAGCACACGCTATGTTGATATTCAACTGCCTTCGAAAAAATGGCAGTTTAAAAAGTAGTGTTACTATTTTATTTCGGGTAAATGAATCTCAAAAATGTTGTGTATAAAACTATAAAGGGTTTCAGTTTCAACATTAATTAAATAGAAATTTATTATTCCTTATTAATTGCAATGTTAAGATAAAGCCATGTTATCTTTTACCCAAAATAGTAACATTTTTTTTTAACTGCCATTTTTTCGAAGACATCTGAATATCGACTATGGTGTACACATGGAAAACACTTAGAATTTTACGTAGAACCCATAAATGCATCAACAAAAAATGAGGTTCCAATTTATGCTTATGACAATGTTGATTTTAGAACGTTGTGATCACATTTAGACTAACAGATCTCACACGTGATTATTAACAATTATCTGTCTACTTTAACACAAATTAATAGAGTATTCAAGATACTATGCTGTTGCACACCGCTTACATTCAAGATCTACTATTATTTTCGCTTTACACCTTCCAACTTCCACATCAGCAGAAGCATGCAAAATGTCATATGTATACAGATGATTTACAACTACATATATCTTTTGAGAAGCGGAATTATGAAGATGTGTTCAGCAAGATGTAAATGAATTTGAAATTTTGACTGAACTTGTAAAATTGGAAATTGGAGGAGTCCCGATATCATTAGTTTCTGAGGCTAAGAGTGGTCCTGGCGTTGGTGGGTGGCGTTTATTAGGTGAAATATTAATGAGAACTAATAATAAATTATTATAATTGATTGAATAGAAATTTAAATTTTAATTACATTAAATTTGCTTTAAAATAATAAATATTTTTAATTTTATCGTGATATCTCAATTAGATCTTAATGAAGAATTTATAATGGAATTTTTAATCGCAACATTCATTCCATTGCAATCAAAAAAACTTAAGATTCGTCATCGTCGATAATTTTCGACGTAGTTTTAGTTGTAATAGTAGGTGTGACCTACCTGGAAAACTAAGTTATTTTATCGATTGTTCCTTAAATTAATTAACATATAAACTACTTTTTTGGGATCAATTACCGCTGCAGAACTGTTTGAATTATAGTTTCAATAATATGGTGCTACTGTCCATAATATATAAATAAATTTTAAATAGAATCAAAATTTTTAATAAACTACGAAAAATTGTTTGACGCATATTAATCTATTCATATAATCATAATTAAAACTTATCAAAAAATACCATGATGATGATTTCATTTTAAATGCCATTTTGATGATTTCACCCAAATTGTGAAATTCTTTTTATTTTTTACAACATAAGCAATTTTAAGAGAATATTCATGAAGTGTTTTAATATTTTTCTTTATTAAATTTATAACTGAAATTAACGTATTGTAAATTAATGTTTAAAGGCAAAATAAAAAAGCTTTTTTGTACTTTTCATTAAATACATTATATAAATTTTGGAATCATAAATATGATTCATGATAATAATGGCCAAATGACTTTGTCACAATATATTGGATTATTGTCATAAAATTTAGTAATTTTTTGTGTAACAAATTTGGTATGCACATGTTGCACCAAGTTTCAATTTTATTGCAATTATTTAACAAACTCATTTTTATACATGGTTTGTTAAAGAGTTTTATTAAGGAAAAATCCAAACACGTATTTTTGTACATTTAACACCATCATCTCGGCTTTTGAACTATTTAAAACGCTGTAAGTAAAACCTTATTATCCGATTTACTAGAGTTGTTGGAGTTCTAGTTTAATTTTAATTTATTAGCACACTTTCATGTTATACAGGTGTCTCAGCCAGACAGTTCATTGGCAATAGACTGCCTAAGTCTGACGTCACAGAGGTGTGCGGAGCTTATACTGACTCTAACCACAGTTGCTAAGATAAATCGCCAAAAAATGTCATTTGAAATGTCATCACTTAGTTTATTTTATTTTAACACTAATGGAAAATTGCAAATATTATGGTGATTTACCGTTAGCAACGAAAATGATTGGAGTCAGTATAAACTCTGCCCATTTCTGTGACGTCAAGGCTTAAGTTGTCTATAGACAAGTGAGACTTAGACAAGAACTCATTGAGAAGGCTTGTTTTCCATGGCACACTAGGTTAAATATCGATATGACATGTGCGCATTTTTCAAAAAACCCTAATTATTATATCTCCCAAACTATTAATGTTATAGGTATAAAACATATATTTATAAATTAAAGGATATTAAAGATGTAAAATGAGACACCGAAGACGACTAAGTAATAAAATATAGGGGGTACCATTTAAAAAAATTATGTTATGGAAGTGTTAGAAATCTGAAATTTTTATTTTGGCCAGAACCCCAGAAACGTCTAATGAACTGTCCTAGCTTTATCATTTAAGTATTTTCTTTTATTTTAATTCCTCGTGTTGTGATTTTCTCCTATACTACTTGTAGATTCAGCTAATGAAGGTTTTATAAATCGAAACTGATTCTAATAATGATATAATCATTTATGAGCAATGCTGGTAATCACACCATGTCAGATTTCAATTTTTGAATACATACCTGTGTTACTGGAATATTATACATAGTAGATCTGATGTATCTTGGACTTGCGTTTCCTTGATCTTGAACCTCAAAATTTGTGGTGATTAATGGCGGTACTAATCCTTTTTGATTGGTATAAAATATTCCTGATCGCATTTTCTGATCATCCTGCATTACTTGAATCTAAAAATGTTTTAATATGATTATGTGTTTTTAATATGATTATGTAATGTTTAGATATTTTTAACAGGTTATATTTTATGAACTTACTGGACTTGGCATTTGATCAGGATCCAACCTTTTTTGTGGTTGAGCTTGTCCATAAGCTGACTGGGGATAAGGTCCACTTGGTGATTGCATACCAGGCATTGGGGGTTGCCCTGACATAGGTGGCTGTCCAGGCAAGGGTGGTTGTCCCATCATAGGAGGTTGACCCATCATAGGAGGTTGTCCCATCATAGGAGGTTGTGTCATCATAGGAGGTTGTCCCATCATAGGAGGTTGTCCCATCATTGGTGACTGTGGCCCCATCATTGATGATTGTTGTCCATGAATTGGTGGTTGTCCATGCATTGGCGGTTGTCCATGCATCGGTGGTTGTCCAGGCATTGGTGGTTGTCCAGGTATTGGTGGTTGTCCAGACATTGGTGGTTGTCCAGGCATTGGTGGTTGTCCAGGGATTGGTGGTTGTCCATGCATTGGTGGTTGTCCATGCATTGGAGTTTGTCCATGCATTGGAGGTTGTCCAGGCATTGGAGGTTGTCCAGGCATTGGAGGTTGCCTCTGAACTCCTATCCCACTGGGATAATTTATAGGTTGTTGTCTTTGTTGGTTCATCATAGGTGGATATCCGCTTGGCATTGGAGGTTGTTTTCCTTGGGAGCCGTTCATAAAATTTTGGTTAACTCCAGATGGTGGTATATGTGGAGGACCATTATCAAATTGTGGCCCACTAATGTTCATATTTTGCATCTGATTTGATAAATTGTTTTGATTTGGGAATTGATTACCACCAGGTGGCCTCGGGGATTGCTGATTAAGTTGTTGATCAAGTATAGGAGGTCTACTACTCATAACAGGAGGACCGCTAGGAGGTGCATTAAACTGACTTTGCATTTCAGTTGGGGTTGGTTTTGTCGGTAATGGACCAAATTGTTGTGGTGGAAACGGATTTGGATTTACTGTAGATGACGGATTTGGTTTTGGAGATTGATTAAATTGGTTTGGTTGAGGAGGATTAATCATTGAGGGATTACTTATAGGAGGAAATATACTTGGTGCCGGACCATTTTGAGTCTGTGAATTAGTTGGGGGTGGCAACTGATTTTGATGGCTAGACATCTGATTTTGATGAGTGGATTGTTCCTGATTTAATATTTTTTGGGGAGGAAGTTGTGATCCTCCTGATGATGGTGGTGCACCTGGTAAAGGTGGAAGTCCAGGTGAAGATGTCCCCAATGAAGGTGGCCCTAAAATTAACATTTAATAACATTATACAAAAAAATGTATTTTTTTACCTGAAGAAAATTGAGGACCTGGTTGTGGTAGAACAGTCGCTTTAGGAATTCCAGGTGGTAATTGACCAGGTGGAATTTGTCCCATACTTGGATTAGGTGGCATATTCGGTCTTGTAGATATAGGTACGTTTTGATTAGAAGGAGGAAATGTGGAATGACCACCTTGTAAAGGGGGCCCATTAGGTGAAGGCCCCATTACAGGTGGTTTTGGTGATCCTAATGGGACGTTTTGAAATCCTTGAGGACTAACTGCAGATTGTGGCCTATTTTGAAAGTTTTGGGGCCCACCATACTGCTGTGGCATATATTGCGGATTCATTTTGTTGAAAACTATCCAAAATAGATAAATAAAACAATACTTATTAGTCAATTAAATAAAATACGAATCACTTTCTACTTTATGCTGTTTTAAAAACAACGACCTATTTCGAGTGGACTTTCACTGCCCAATTTTCTTTATAAACCAAAAAGTAATAATGCAATTTGATGTACGAATGTTTTCTTTATCTTTTTCTACTTACCGAAAAGACGAAATACTTGAAAATTATATTAAGAAATTCATCACAAACACAAGACACGAACAGTTAAAGAGCTGTATGCCACGTAAGGTTGCAATGCGCAAGATTTAGTACATTTAGTAACTTCCACGTCAGTTTTGCTGCAACTTCATATCGTTCTAACTGTCACTGTCACTTTTTAAGTAATTAGCGAAGACCGTTTGAAATAAACGCAAATATTTTGAGCACTATTTCGGGTTTTTTCTTTTACATTATTTCCACTTAAACGATCTAAACAAAAACGTTCTTCCAGAATTGTTCATTCCGAATCAAAACAATAAATATAACCTCACTTTTTCCGTATTGACAGTTTAAATGTAACCAACATCTAGTAAAATTTTATGTTCCCAAAACTTCACAATTTTCCAATATGATTAGATATATACAAGAAACTTGCTTAAAATGTTTCTATTTAATCCTTAATGCTTATATAATTGATATTTTTTTATTAATTAAACGATTTAAAAAGTTTCCACGTCAGTTTTAATTTGTTTTGCGTCAACTTCACTCTGTTGGAGTTGTCATTTTTACATTGTGTTTATTATGTCACTGTCATGATACGTATTTCTAGTTTAAATTTAAACATTTGGAAAATTGTTTTGTGTTTTTCCGCTTTGTGGTTTTATAGCCCCGGGCGGCACCCTAGGCACTACAATTACATTCAAAACAAGGACGTTCTCTCGGAATTAGTCCTTCCAAATCACGAAAACAATGGACATAACCTCAATCTTTCCGTTTTTGACGTTTTTGACAGATTAATTATTAACAATAAAGTTGTATCATCTAAGGAAATTTTTGAATTAAAGAATTTTCAAAATGTAGATATAGGTGTGAAAAGTTAAAACAGAATTTTTTTATGTATTGAGTAATTTTTGTTGTAGGTGGTGAATTTAGACCAAAAAAATGTTCTTCGCTTTCAAAGACAGCCTTAATTGTACCATACAGAAATCGTCCACAACAATTAAAAATATTTTTAAATTATATGCATTATTTTATGCAAGAACAGTGTATTACATATAGAATATTTATAGTCGATCAATTAGATTCTAAACCATTTAATCGAGCTAAGTTATTAAATATTGGAGCAGTGGAGGCTATGAAATTGAATTTTTCCTGTTTAATACTTCATGATGTTGATTTATTACCGATAAGTACAGGAAATCTTTATACTTGCGCTCGTAAACCAAGACATATGAGCAGTTCTCTTGATGTATTTAGGTAATTTTTAATTTAATTTAGAGAACTTTGTTTGTAATGATTTTTTTGTAGATATCATTTAACATATCCAGATTTATTTGGTGGAGTTGTAGGTATTCTATCAGATCAATTTAAAAAAATTAATGGAATGTCTAATTTATTTGATGGTTGGGGTGGAGAAGATGATGATTTTCATGCGTAATATATTAGAAATCTTTTAATTTCCTTATTATAACAATTTATTCTATTTTTAGGAGATTAATTAAGTTTGATCTTGTTCCTTATAGATTTTCCCCAATTCTTAGCAGATATATTATGCTTAAACATCCCAAAGCTGAACCTAGGTATGAAAAACTAAAAAATTTAGAATTTAAATCTAACTCTAAATGAACTCATTTTTTAGTAAAGAAAGGTTTAACATGTTAAAAGATTCTGTGGACCGACAACCCATTGATGGCCTCAATTCTTTAATTTCTAATTATGTAATTGAACAAAAACAACTGTATACTCACATTCAGGTTAATGATGATTAATTTTTGATTATTTTATAATTATTTAGTCCTTGTAAAACATATCACTGTGATATTTTCGAAATATTATTATTTGATGGAATAAAAAAACAATTAATTCTAACATATTTATTACATCCTTTACAAAATTTAATCAAAACCTAAAAAATAATTACAAAATAGTGATACAAAAGTTGTTAATTACAGTGAGAATTGTTAAATATAAAATTATAGAGATCACAGATACTTTTTTAAAATTTTTTGTAGCAACACTCAAAGCACTTGCATGACAACTGCTGTCCTCTGGTAATATTTGGACGATTGGAATTTCTTTTCCACTATTCTCATCCATGCAAGTAGTTTCCATTAAAGCTTCGTTCATTATTAGGGCATTTTCCATTGGTGCATTATGAGATAATAAACTTTCTCTCATCCATCTTCGTAACCAATAACTTAACCAAGCCAAATGACAACCACATTTAAATGGGTTATATGATATTTGTAATCCACCTGACAACAAGAAAAACCATAACTTGACAAATAATATTATATATGATTTAAAGATATTTTGAATTTTCAAAATAAGTAATGAAAAAACTATAATATTAATATTGTTATCATTAACATAATGAATATTTTGTTGTACAAGAACCAAAAACATTAAACCAATAAGCTATTTGTTGGTAGATAGTCCATTATTGTCTAACACATCTTTTAATCTATAAGGCATGTCATTAACTATACGTTTTCAAGTTCAAATTCAAAATGGCATTAAAATCCACAACGTTGCTTTCAGTCAGTTTTAACGTTGGCTCTAAATTTATACCAAGAACGTTAGAATTTAAGAAGACTGCTATATGCCAGGTTATACAGCTCGAAGGTCCGTTCGTGACGTCACGCATAGGTAACTACTATTTCACACTTTGAATTAGCAAATGCTTGATTTATTCTATTCGTATTCTGTAATGGTGTTAGTTCGAGACTGAAATTTCATAATATAAAATAAAGATCTTGATCGAGCTTAGCTGTGCGAAAACGGCATGTTTCTAGTTCTAGGTCTAGCGTTAATTCTACTTTTAGTTCAATCAATATATACAAGAATCTAACGCTGAATAACAATTAAAACTAGATTGACGTCTGAAGACGCACGGCTAAACCCGAAACTTTCTAGGTCTAGTGTTAGTTTTAATTTTAGTTTAATGAAAAATATCCAGCAATCTAACGCTGAATAACAACTAAACTTAGAACTAACACTAGACCTAGAACTAGAAACGTTCTGCAAGACGAATGATAATGCTTACTCTTTGCGGACGATCTGAAGATATTCACAACTGTACACGACTTAACTGACTGCCGGTCCTTACAGTTTGATTTAGATAACGTATTTAATTGGTGTCGGCTCAACAAGCTCCATTTTAATGTGTCTAAATGTGAGTCAGTGACGTATACATTGAGGAAGAGGCCGATAGAATTTGTATATAAGATAAATAGTGTGATTTTGAGGTGTGTTGTCAAAAAGAGAGACTTGGGTGTGTTGTTTTCGCCTGGTTTATGCTTTGCTTAACATATTAAAGCCACAGCAACCACAGCTTTGCGTCTCTTAGGATTTGTCATTACAAATGGGTACAGTTTCTCAAACTTACAGACGCTGCAATTACTGTTCAATTCTTTAGTGCGATCTAAGCTGGAATATGCGGTAATAGTATGGGATCCCGGGTCAATTCTTTATTCTAATTTAATAGAAACTATTCAAAATAAATTCATTAGGTATCTCTAATACAAAAAATTCCGTGTTTTCATTGGTTTTAGATCGTACGAATTTGCACGCAAATTATTTAGGACACCAGGTTGTCTCTCAGAAGAAAAATTATATCACTCTGTTTTCTGTATAAAATGTTGAATAATACTATAAATGCTCCATTAATATTAGAAAATATTGGTTTCTATGCGCCTGCATATTGTGGTAGGCTAAATCTTTTCTATATTCCTCGGTTTTCAACTGAACTGAGACGAAATTCTCCTCTTATTAGAATCCTTTCACTGTACAACACACTGTCGGCTTCTTCCTTCATACCTCTGTTTGGCATTGGTATTAGATCGTTTAAACAACATTTGACACCTTTGATAAGTGCTGCAGCCACCCAGTAGCCAAACTTGATTTTTGTCATTGAATTCTGTAATTTATGATGTAATTCTGTTCATTTTTTAAAATTTTGGTTCAATATATCCTCCGCGCGTTCTGTGATGGGTTAATTAACATTTATGCTTGATCTTGGTTGTTTTGTTGTTTTTGTTGGTTATATTATGTACTGTAATATATTATTATGTGTGTATGTACCCTGTAATTTCGGAAGTAAAATATATAAATAATTTACACGATGTTTTTGATTTAGCAGTGCCTAAAACTGTGAGAGATTCTACGAATCGTCGTTTACGAAGGAGGTAAAGGATTGTATTCGCACGAAAGAGAATATGCGCTCAAAGCATAAACGTACTGGTTCACTGTATTGCCTGAATGAATTTAAACGCTACAGATCTCTATCGAAACACCTCATTACAGATGCATATAATGCGTACATGAACGATGTAGAGCGATCTTTGATTTCTGATCCCAGTACTTTCTGGGCCTATGTTCGGTCACGGAAGGGCGCTACTCGTATTCCAGGCCTTACAACGAATGGAAATCTGGAGTTCAGTTCGGGTCGAAGTATTGTGGACGCTTTTACTAATTATTTTGAGTCCGTTTATATTCAATCTGATTCTGATTTTGTGGGGTCTGATTTCCCCGATGATAGTCTTTGTTTGTCAGTGGAGAACTTCAGCTTGGAGGAGGTTGAGGATGCGTTGAAGCGTACAAAGAATACTCTTACTGTGGGAGTTGATGGGATACCGAGCTTTTTACTGAAGGACTGTGCTTCTATTCTGGCCGCCCCATTGCTCTCGATTTTCAATCTGGTCCTGTCTATTTCTACCTTTCCGTCGTTATGGAAAGAGTCATACGTCTGTCGAATTTTGAAGAAGGACAACCCTGCTGAGATTGTGAATTACTGCTGTGTGGTTTTTCGAAGACTTTTGAAAGCGTTCTTTTCAAGCCATCTCATATCATTTAAATAAGTAGATAAGCCCAGTCCAACACGGATTTATTTGTGATCCACTGTCACCAATCTGACATGCTTCGCCCAATTTGTTGCTGATGTAATCGATAATAATGCCATGTATCTCGACTTTCGGATAGCGTTTGATCACCTGGATCATTTTATCTTATTAAAAAACTGAGTAACTTTGGATTAAGTGCCCCTCTGTAGTCGTTAATGAAAGCTTATTTGCTAGGTCGGCAGCAGTTTGTTAATTATGGCGGCTTCACTTCCAGAGGATTATCTCCAACTTCAGGGTTTCCCCAGGGATCTAACCTCGGTCCATTGCTGTTCTTGGCTTTTATTAATGATGTAACCGCGATCTTGGATTGTGAGAAGCTGCTTTTTGCTGATGATTTGAAGTTATTCTCGGCTGTTGGGGAACTCAGCGGTTGTGAACGTTTGCAAGAAAATCTGTTTCGTGTTGAGGATTGGTACCTTAGCAATCGTTTATCACTTAATAATTTCTAAATGTTTTACCATGACATTTTCAAAAAAATTAAATACAGTCGACTGTGCATATTACTTGGCCAGTTAATTGAGTAACACGAGTAAGAGATTGCGTAAGATCGTCTTTTTCGCATACGACCTCTTTTGACTCTGCTTAATACCAGGTACCAAAATATTTTAACACCAGGAAAAGAAGTTGTCATTGATGAAAGCATGATTCCATGGAGGGGACGTTTAGGGATGCGCCAGTATATTAAAAATAAACGTCGTAAGCACGGCATCAAGCTGTATAAGTTGTGCACCTTGGAAGGTTATACCATTAAGGTCAAGATGTATTGTGGCAAGGAGGATAATCCAGATAATTCCAGCGACTCACATACAGTAAAGGTAGTTATGAACCTCATGGATAATTTGCTTGATTCAGGTCGCATCTTATACGGTGACAACTTTTACTCAGGGGTCCCACTTGTGAAAAAACTTCAGGAAAGGAAAACATTTTACTGTGGAACACTCAGATCAAACAGGAGAGGTCTTTCAAAAGAATTTATTAATCGTGGTATTAAAAAGAATGAAGTGGTAGGAGTACATAATGGAAAGGGTGTTAAAATAATAAAGTGGAAAGATAAGAGGCCCATTCTTATGATATCTAATAAAAGAGATCATGATATCAACCTGCATGATACTGGTAAAAAAAACAGAAACTCGGAGCCTGTTCTTAAACCCAAATGTATTATTGACTACAACAAAGGTAAAAAGGCGTTGATCTGAGTGATCAAATGTTCTCCTACTACACAGCTTTACGCAAAGGGCTTAAATGGTATAGGAAAGTGGCGTTTGAATTACTATTAGGAACTACAATTGTCAATTCGTATGTAGTTTTTAATGCAGCTAATAAAAGCAACAGGACCCTTACCATGCTACAGTTCAGAGAGAACCTAGCAATGTCACTAGTGGATCAGGATTCTGAACATACTGTAAAGTCGACTTGCACTCCGAAAAGGGTACATACATTTGCTTATGAGCAGGGTCCAGGGAGAAAACGACGTCGGAACTGTGTAGGATGTTATAAGAAGCTAAGGGCTACATTGTCCAGTAAGGAAGCAGACAAAAATGTTACTAAAGTATCGAGTTACTGTGATGACTGTGATCTAAAACCAGCAATGTGCCTCTCGTGTTTCAATAAAAAGCATAGTAAGGTATAGCAAAACTGAGTGTTTTCAAATGTTAAATATCCTTGTTTTTTAAGTAAATGTGTGTAATTTAGTCAAGATTTCTTTGATTGAATCCGTTTGATTTTTATTTTTGTTCGTTTCTCACCTATGTATTTTATAAATAAATGTGTCCAATGTAATTATCAATATTTTGAAATTCCTCTGGTTTAGCTCTTTACGACTAGAACCCATCTTTCTTGTCATAATTCTGAACCAAAAATCACAAAAATACAATTCACACACATACCAGGCATATGTGTCTGGTACTGACGCAATGAAAAAAACACTCACCAGACACATCTACCTGGTACCGTGTATTTGAACAAGATACTTGTCACTGGTATCGCAGCGAACGTGTTAAGAAGGGAAACCACATTAAAAGGTTAAAAAAATCGATTTTTTTTATTGCATAAATCGTTAGCTTAACTATCCAAGAATACGATGTCAAAATTACAAACCGAAATTCGCATTCCTTTAGATTTTATGAGCATGGAACCGAGCGGTCTGCCGTAGCCTATACTAGAGATGTGCGCGTTAGTGATTTTTTATGCCCGCTCACGATCTATACCACGCGGGTCACACATACCACTTACATGAACATATGAATCAGGTGACTCACGCGTGATTTACTTGTGAAAAATTATTAGAGAAAAAAATTATTAATATTAGCGAAAAAGCTCAGCACTTACTACGGACTAGCGATTCGAAAACATACATCGATAGTGTAGAAAATATAAAAACAGCGATTATGGCGACATACTATCTATGTACATATATCCACCGATGAAAATCCTCGACACGAGTGTTGCTCATAAGGAGAAGACAGCTGGTGCGTGTGGCAGAAACGAACAGCAGAAACGCAAATGAAAGCTTTAATTTCACAATTTGGCGATTAGTTCCTAAACATTTGCACTCCGGACTAAAAGTCATCGAATTGGCATCGTACTTAGCCGCGGGCTTATTCAATGCAGGAAATTCATCCCTTCTGATGATCATGAACGAAGCAGGAATTGTAGTAGGTACGCAAAGCTTCCAGTACGCTGAACAAATAGATAACCAGCGCGTGAGTCGACAGAATCGACGTAGTTCATTGAAGTCGAAGGAAGGTCGGGAAGCTCGAAAAGCACTGCTGCAAGCGCAAAATGAAGCATATGAGGAAGAAGAAGGACTAATGTATGGTGCTGGAATTGCGGATTAATCGGTGCCTACTTTATATTATTGTTAACTTTTCTAAATTTATAGTTTTCGAGATTTTTTTTTCAAACGCGTTTTTCACAAAATGACTTTTTTCGAAAACTGCTATTAAAAGTTGACTTTTGCGTAGTACTTAGCGACCGTCAAAACGATAGTTTTTTGTCAACAGGATGTAATAGTTATTTATATTACAAGTGGGCTAGAAACATAATTATGCTCTAGCCCACGTGTGATATCTACGATTGCTAAAAATTACTAAAAAGTTAATTTCTTTAAAAAAGTCTATTTGACATTTATAAAAATATGTTGAAATGATTGTTGTCAATTTTGAATTGTCAGTTTCAACATGTTTACTCATCTGGAATAAGTGTTTTGAAATGTAAAAACATAACAATTAATGTTTATAATAAATAGTATTGTTTCTCTGTAAGTAGATAGCACTTTTTCTTTTGTATTGTTGCTCGTTTCAATAAATTAAGTCTGTTCTGATTAGGCTAAAAATGCGTTACGTAATGAAACCAGTGCGGTAATGAACTTCATTACGTAAC